AAGTAATTTTCCAGCTGATGGGAAATTTCACAGAAAGCTCAACACTCTGGTAGGAAGAGGATGCAGAACATTTCTTCAAAATGGTTTCCTGTGGAACCAGCTGTTCCTGGAAGCCTGGACACTCTAGAGGGGTGCATTCGGATCCCCGACTCACATGGGACACACTGTGGTTACCATGGAGATGTCCAGTCTGAGAACAGCTGGTCACAATAAATACAATATATACACATATATATACAATTTTAATTTAAATATGTATACAATTTCTATTTAAATACACACAATTTTTATTTGTGTAAGTTACCCATGTCAAGAAGAAACGAGCTAGGAAAAGGAGAAGAAAACAGGTCACTATAGATATACGTGTGAAGTTTAATATATAGTCAATTGAATAAAATATCTTTAAATTTGAAAAAAAATTGCTCCATGTTAATTAGTAGAGGTGAATCACATTACCATTGAAATCTACCCGATGATTTTTATATCCATGCTCAGGTGCCAAGGATCTCAGAAAGTAACCGACTCTGACTAGTAATACTCAGGTACATAGAGATTAGAGATGCATGTGCAAACATCTAAGTGTTGGTAGCATTAAAAATGAGTTTTCTGTATGAAACAATATATTTTAAAATGAAATGGAGATCTTTTTTAAAGGTTAAAACCTCATTCAATTTTGTTTTATAGGGCTCATACTGAGTTCAATATTGTATAACTGTATTAATTCAACTGTGAACCTAAAAATTTACAGCCAATTTTGAAAGAGATGCATCTTTGCTCTGGAAATTGTTATTGAATATGTTAATGCTATAATGAAATACTTCTAATCATGTGGTTATTAAATAAATAAAAAAGACTCCAACATGTGCAATTCCTGGTCTTTTGCTGTTGACAAATCTTGTGATCTAATTTCAAGACAGTAAGATGCTGACTTTGTTTGCCATACCGTAGCAGTGGCCACAGTGCCCCCAGGTAAGGATCAGTCAGATTCATCATTGAGTGTTCTTTTGATTCTCTCTTAAGGGTCTTTGGACTTGAAACTGCACTCAAGCAAAAGCAACATCTATACTGCTTCCCATGTGGATATCAACATGAGAAGCAATTTTCACCAATGGCTCCCTGAAGAATAGGGCTGTGAAGACGGAAAAGGGAAGGCCTTACTGTTTTTAGGGGGAGCTGGGCCACTCTATAGATTCCAGGTAAACTTTCAGAGAGGAGGGCTGGAGGAAGAGAGGGAGAATGGACGGACAGAGGTCTGCTTTGTAATCAAGAACTGCCTTCTCTACTAAGTCCATTTTTACCCCAGATCCTTTTGTAACTGGGAAACTCCAGGTTAGCAGCAAGGCCTCTGTAGACACAAGCTGCACAGAAGGCTTCCTGCTGTGTCCCTTTTGCTTGTAATAAAGGCACCTGAGCTTTGTCATGTGATCCACGTAATGAGGCTGCTCCATGGGACTTCTGACCTATACCTTAGCGTCTTGGCACAAGAGATCATTCATAAATGTCCTTCAAACGGAGATTATGATCATCTTAATGTTTGCTCATATGGGGTTGGGATGATGTAGCTCAGCACTAGAGCAGCTGCCTCCCATGCTCAAGACTCTACTACTCATCACCAATGCTTGGGGGAGGAGAGCATCTGGGTTCAGGTGATATTTCTCAAAGAACTTCTTGTCTGTGGGTTAAATATACCCCCCACTCCCGAAAGAGTTCCCACATTCCCGAGTGTAAGAAACTTCTACTTTCTTTTTGAGCCATTATCTTTGATTTGGCTTGGCCCCAATATCTAAAATAGCCTTTAATCTAGAAGACAATAGCAATAGCAATTTATATCAAGTACAGTTGTCCCTTGGTATCTGCAGGGAACTGGTTCTAGGAATCCCTATGGACATAAAAATCTATGATGCTTTCTTATATATAAAGACATTGTATTTGCATAGAACTTACATGCATTCCTCTATATTTTAAATCATTCTTAGATTCCTTACATTAGCTACTATAATGAAAGTGGATGCAAGTAATTGTTATGCTGTGCTTGTTTAGGGAGTAACAGCAGCAATAAAAAGCCAGTACCAAACCTGGCGTGGTGGTGCACGCCTGTAGTCCCAGCACTTGGGAGGCAGAGGCAGGCGGATCTCTGTGAGTTCAAGCCAGCCTGGTCTACATAGTGAGTTCCAGGACAGCTGGGGCTACAGGGAGAGACAAAAAAAAAAAAAAAAAAAAAAAAAAAAAAAAAAGCCTGTACCTGTTTGGTGCTGATGTGTTTCCAAGCATTTCTGATCTGTGGTTAGTTGGATCCATGGGTGTAGAACCCGAGGATATGGAAGGTGGACTGTACTTAACAACAAAAAGCAGCTCGTTTAGTCACAAAATGTGCTTTTGAATTTTCTGTAAACTTGGCATTTCAGTGTGTGCTTTATTTTCATTCTTAGAGCTAGGAGGCCAACATGCAGACCAGTCTTCCTTATCCATTAAAAAACAAACTTGCCCCCTTTTCTAAGTATAGAAATTCTTCTCTTTATTCTTTCCAACTATGGTATTAAACACAAGCAGCTTGCCTACAGAAAGCTACAGGCAAACTTTCTCTATAAGGTCTTTCAAATTGTTTTCTTATGGTGGATTTAAAAAAAATGATAAAAAAACAGGCTGAGGACTTTTCTAGCATGCACAAGTCCCTAGGTTGGTATGTAGCCATGGGGGCAAAATAAGAGAAATGTTTCCAACCTTTGGAAACCACAGATGGAAGGGCTCCCAATGATGGGAAAGGCTATGGAGGGGAGGACTGAGGTGACTGCTGCTGGGCAGCAGGATGGAGTGTACACTAACCAATCTATGCTAAGTCTTGGAGGATGCTCTTTTAGCTATTCCATCCAGACAACAAGGACCATCAGAGCAACATCGCCAAACACTCAGCTGCACACAGCTGTCCTAGATACAGACCAGATGGGCCAACCTAATGCCATTGCTGAAGGTCTAGGAAATGGCTACTTGGCCAGTGTTTTTGGTCTTAGGTGAGGTAACTTTTTGGTGGCATTTCTCATCTGCCTGCTGCTAACACCAAATGTGACTCAACACCGCCAGAGCAGTGGCACTCTGGGGAAGTTGAGGCCACCTGGTACAGTCTTCCCAGCACAATGCCTGGCCCCAAGCTCTGAAGTTGGGGCTGTCAAGCAGGTGGAAAGCTGAATCACAGAAACACCTGCTAAACACTACTTTCTTCAAAGCTCTAGAATCAAGCTGGAGTCCTCTGCATTTAGGGGACACCCAATGTGAGGCTCGCTTTGCAGAAGCCTGTTTGTGGGCTTTTCTGTCTCAGTTCTCCTTCATTTCTTTATAGATTCCAGATGCACAGCTAATTTTATTTGATTTACAAAAATTAGCTCTGCATTATCAAGGCATGAGCATGTCCAAACCCATTCATGTAGTTTAATTAGTACAAAAACAGCCAGCTGTTAATGGCTTAAAGAACAGATCAAGTTTGCTCCCATGACTGCCTGTGGAACAGATCCTGTGGGGTCTCCCATGGAGCCTGCAATTTGAAACTTTCAGGGCAAAGGACTTAGGTTTCCACATAGCAGCTGCCTAAATTAAACCTAACTCAGAAGTGCCATCCACCACATACTCTATTGATGCACAACCTGGACCACCTCCACCAGGGCTGGGTGATGCTGCCTGGAGCTGAGGAGTGATCACACTTCCCACATCACGCATGTTCATTCACCCTGGCCTACCACCCTGTTTTGCAAACACTGCAGCTCCCAGGAGTGGACTTAGTGGTATCAGATTTGTGACCCCTTAGATCTTCGCTAGTCTCACTGGTACACAGGACTGAATCATGACACCAAGAGTTGTACTGCTGGGTGAATGAGAGCAAAGTATGACACTTTACCCATGGACTCATATCCTTAGCCCTTAACCTATGACTTTGAAAGCAGGGTGGAGTGTTGTAGATTCAGACTGCTGTACTCAACTCACATGAATGACTATGAGAAACAGAGTGAGGCCATCCAAGCTACTGTACGACTTGAGCTACTTACAAGCCCACTCAAACTTTGACATGAATCTTAAAAATCTATTTAGCACCTTGAAGAAACCCCTTGGATGGGATCTAGGTCCCTGGAAATTGCCCAGAAGTCAAGGAAGTTATGCAGTATGTTCCTTGTGTTTGGAAGGAATGGGTTTCCTAGGAAAAAGGCACACACATGACTTCTTTTATGTCTGGAAGAGACTCAAAGGCAGTGGCTCAAAGCTGGCAATTCTGGGAGTGCCTTAAGAATGCATGCTCCTGGCCAGGCGTGGCACATGCCTTTGAGTACTCTGTGAGTACAGGTCTACATAGCAAGTTTCAGGCCAGCTGGGGCTACAAGAAGACCCTGTCTCAAAAAGACAAAACAAACAAAACTCCCCCAAAACAGCATGCCACCTATTCTTGTCTTGCCCCTCACTTAGAGTCACCTGGGCAACTGTGTTTTAAATTTTATTTATTTTTTATGTGTATGAGTATATTGCCTGCATGTATGTAAGAGCACCCATGTTGTGCAATGCCCATGGAGGTCAGAAAAGGGCATCAGATCCCCTGGAACTGGAGTTTCAGACAGCTGATAACCACCATGCAGGTGCTGGGAACCGAACCTAGGTCCTCTGCAAGAGCAGTCAGTGCTCTTAACCGCTGAGCCATCTCTCCAGCCTTGTTTGGTTTTAAACATATCAACCTCTGGTACTTTCGCCCTTCCCTCCTTGGTGACTCTATCAATCAGCAGTATCTGGGCCTCAAGGCTGCACATGGCACTTCTCAGACTTACATACATGGCCTTCCTTGGGGATTGTCAGACTAAAGTTTCCCATGTGCATGGATCGGGGAGGGGCTTGGGATTCTGAGGTTGCAGATTCCTCATCCTGATCCATACTCCCACTGCCCCCATCTGAACTGGTGCTTGGACTTAAGACAAAAGGAGTCTTCAGCTGATGGTGGGGCACCCCCTCCCTTTGGAAATTAATACACATTCATTGTAATGAGTTTATTTGGTATAAAAGGATAGGGAGATGATTCTGTTTACTGTTAAGGACCAAAAACCAGTCTGTAAAGACTACACAAATTTGGGTGAGCTGTAAGATGGGGTGGGGTGGAGACATGATAATACATAGCATTATTCTGAGTGACCTCCAGCTCTTCATTCTAACACTTGAATTGAGGATGGACAGCCATCTCTTCATATTATGGCCGAAACAGAATGGAAATGTGACTCAGTTTATCAGCTCCTACAGGGCAGGCAGAGCAAGAGGCCATGTTCACCCAGTGTTGGAGGGCTCTACTCCACACAGAATGGATGCTGAAGGTGGTCAACACTGCTGCTGGTGGGCTGGTTCCTAGTCCCCAACTCCTAGGTCCTGGGCTTCTCTTGATTCTCAATGATAAGTCTGTCAGTGGAATACAGTTGGCCAATATGGACCTGAAGGCAAAGACAAAACACAGGTTAAGAACTGTAAAACTCTATCAGCTGTGAATGATCAGGAAAAGCATTTCTGACTTGTTTGGTTTCTTTGAGACAGGGTCTCACTACATAATTCAGGCTAGCTTTGAATTCTCCATTCTTCTGACTCATCCTCTTAGTTCCAGGATTCTAATATATGCAATCCAGCCTGGTCTCATTTCTGACAAGTACTTACCTGTTAGGACAGGCTGCTCCCTCTAGAAACTGTACTATGGGGCAAAGTTAATCCCATGTGCCTTTGCTAGCCCATCATCTACTTCCCACTCCTCCTGCTGTGGGAGGTTAGAGATCATCTCACAGCTCTTTCAAATGGCACCAGTGGCTAGTCGTGGTGTATGGAGATGGCAAGGCCATCCACTAGGCTCCTTGGCTGCTGGCTGCAGGCAGAGCCATCCAGGTGTACAACTTTCCACTCAGTGGGAATTCCTTCCTTACAAGTGCTTCTCCCTGGGAAAGAAAATCTTTCCATAGAGAGTAGACTTTGACCTGAAGGGAGATGCACAAGGCTTGGCTGCTGTCCCTGGTGGGGCTAGTGGTGGCAGTCTGGTCACATATTTTCTGCCTTTCCTGCCTCTTTCTGTGTTGTGTCCTTTTCAGTTAAGTGTCTCTGCTTGTGCCCCAGTGTAGGGCTATAGCTTGTCCTTTTGCCAGGGCAAAGTCTTTGTCACAGTTTTCTTCTAAAGGTACTTCCTAGGTGATACTTTTTTTTTTTTTTTTTAAAGGAATAAGTAGAAACGGGGAAGAAAGTGCTGAGCATTAGGACGATTGTGTGGATCTCAGCATTTGGCCACTATCTATGAAACATCTGGGGTGAGAAACTGCTCTATAAAATTGAATGAGAGAACATTCCCAAAGGTCAGGGCTACTGTGCCCTGGGGTCAGAATCCAGATTCCCCCAGAGTTCTCCTTCTGCCTTAGGACTCTTCCTTAAAAAGAAGGCCTGGGCAAGGGAGCATGCTTTTAACAAGGGACAGAAGCCCCAGCAGGCCTCCTGACCGCCTCGGTTTCCCATGCATTTGCTTGGTGCTTGGTCTGCACTTGAGCAGACACCCTGACAGACAGCTAATAGGTGCCCTGTACCGTTAAGAGAAAGCAAACTGAGAGTTGAGAGCAGCTGCACTGTCTAAAAAGAAAGTGGACACTGGGAGTGCAGTGACCACATTGGTATTTCAGTCACCTGGAGCGTCCATAGGGGCCCTCTTGGCAGTGTTGACAGTTACTCATCCCATGAGTGACTGACAGGACTCAGTACCCTTTTCAAGGCTCCAGTATAGGCAGAAGCTATGGTACTGTGTAAGTACTCAGTAACAGAGGTGTCCTGAAGTAGGATAGCTGTTGTGAGTGCACACAAGACTCCGTTCTTGTGAGGAGCAGAAAGTGAGGACTGAGAAGGAATTCAGATGGCAGAAAGGGTTTGAATCAGCTTTTTGATGCTCAGCTTCTGTGACAAAAGGTATCGTCCTCCTCAGATCTACCTTGGATGCCTCTGTTAAAAGCCATGTGGTCTCTGAATGTCCATGGGTTGATCCTTATGTTCTATGTCTGACACAATGGAAGAAAGATGGAGTTCAAGAAAGACACTGGGCAGGGGCTGGGGTGCTGGGCTCTAGTCCTGGTTCTGTTACTCACTGGGGAATCTTCTCCTTGTCCTCCCTCTGGTCCCAACAACATCCTTACCTGCTAAATGACAGGCCTGAGTACTCCTAGGTGACTTTTACAATTCCCTGCTGCCCCAACAGTCTGAGCTCTCACCAAAGTCAGCAGATGTCAAGAGAAGGGTGTGAGGTCTTTTGGCCAGTGAGATGCCTCCGAGGGTGAGGTGTCTGAGCTAGTGAATTGTGAGGTTTTGGAGCCAATGGTGTGCCTCTTAGTGAGATTCCCCCAGCCAGAAAGGTACTTGTATGGGGTGAGGTCTCTGAGCAGCTGGTGGGAATCTGGCCAAGGAACAGGCATTGCAGACATCTGCAGCATATGGAGGTGGTAGTGACCTCCTGCCTTCTCCTGACAGGTTGGCTTTCCTCTTAACTACTTACTACCATGGGCCAGCAGCTCAGGTGTTATCAAAGCCTGCTCCCCTCCCTCTGTAGCCCATGTAGACCACATGTGGTCTGTGCACAGGGCCTGTGTGAGGTGATGCTCAAGCTCATGCTGTTTCCCCTTCTTCACCCCTATCCCAGCTTTGGGACTTCTCAAAGGCCAGGGCATCACTGAGCCTTACACAGTCCTAGCAGACAAAGGGTCTAGCAGACCACTGGGTAGTGAGTGAGAAGGAATCTGAGGGCCAGGGCTCTGCAGCACAGATGGAGACAGGCAGGGCTGCTGCTTCCAGCTGAAAGGCTGGCACCTTCAGTACACAGCAAATAGGCGTTTGCTGAACAAAAGACCTGGCAAAACCTGGAGGAGCACTAGGGGGCAGACCTGCTTGGCCCTTGAGCTGAAGGGTGAGCACCTTCTGTCCAGGCACTGGGCTGGGGAGCTCTGACACGTGAGTCCTGCCCTTGATCTGGCCCAGGGCACAACACAGGTCTAGAAGAATACAGGTGAGACAGCCAGAAAGGATTAGGGAAGACCTCTCAGAGGCAGGGGCTATAAAGCAAAGCTTCAGGGGACAACTCAGCATTGAGCAGCTGGAGCTGGGGCAGGGGTGAGAGTCAGTCCAGAAGCAAGGACAAGCATCTGCAGGACTAGCAGTACAGAAATACAAAATATATGGCTCTTGGAGAATGTCAAAGACAGCAAGGGGCTCAGCCTGGAAGCAGATGGTGGGATGATGGGACAGAGAGGAGAGAATAAAATGAGGAAGGCTTGGGCTGTACTCTGGGTGCCAAGTCATTCTGAGGAAAAGTGAGGGCCATTAAAATGTGAGCAACAGAGGACTGATTTTCATCTACGGTGACAAAGACCCCCGTTTTACTTTTTTTTCTGTTGCCATAATAAAATACTCTGGAAAAAAGCAACATAAGGGAGAGAGGGTCCCTTTAGTTCACAATTTCAGATTACAGTCCACCGTAGCAGGGAAGCCAAGGCAGTGGGAACTTGAAGCAGCTAGTTAATCCACACTCAAGAGCAGAGAAACCAATGCACACATGCTCAGTACTCAGCTTCCTCTGCTCAGTCCTGAGCCCCATAACAGGGATTGGTGATGCCCCCCTTTAGGCTGAGTCAAGACACTCCCCCATAGACATGCCCACAGGTCAAATTGATCTAGACCAGCCCTCATTGAGACTCTTCCCAGGTGATTCTAGGTTATGGAAGGCTGATAATCAAAACTAAGCATCACATTCCAGTCCAAGGTGAGCAGGAGGGGGAGTAGCTGGTAAGAGGCCAGCAGTACTTAGCCATGCTTCAGGCTAGCAGGCGTGGAGGGCACAGGTTGGTGGAAGATACGGTGAAGCATAGAAGTGGAGTCAACAATAGCAAGATGGAGGGTGATGTATGCACATGATCTAAGGCTCAAAGGAGGCCCAGAGAAGTCAAGGCATGGTGGAGAAAAGCCTAGAGCCCAGCGCCTTCTGCTCTCTGTCCAGTACCCACTCCTCTACCAGCTTCCTAAGCAACATTCACTTTATGGCATGAATTCTCCACTGTAATAGATTGGAGATGACACTGGACAGCTGTGGTCTTTGTTTCTTTTTCCTTATTAGGTGTCAATGTCTACATCTAGATTTACAGTCTGGCTACCCTGCAGCTATAGGCACCCACTGAGGCATTAGCTGACTCCATGGGGGGAATATCTGGGAAAGATTTCTTGTTGTTCTGGGCACCAGGCCCAGAGCCTGGCATACGCTTAGACAAGTGCTCTACCCCTGAGCTAACCCAAGGGCAAGTTCTTTAAAGGCTGCCTGCCTTTGCCCCCTCACTTGGTCTCCTTTCTCCTTGGATTCTGAACTGGATGGCTGGAACACCAGCAGCATCTAGTGCCATCAAAGAAGTCTGATCTGAGAGTCACATGAAGAGAATGGGGGACAGAGAGGAAGTGCCTGGACTCCTGATGTCCACGGAGCCACGCTGCTGGCTCTGGACACCTTACTGTCAGCTTTCTTCTATGTGGAAGAAAACAAGCCTTGTTTTAAAAAGGTGTTGTTATTTGGATTTTGTGTTACATAGCTAAACTACCTCATAATTGATTTGAATGTACACTGTGAATTTTAGTTTTAAACCATATGCCTGATGGGCAAAAAGGTTAGGGCCAAGAAGGAGGTGAACTGTGTCCTGTTCATACTAAAAGGAAACAATGTCTCTGTGACCTAGGTGGTGCCTTAGACAGATAGTGTGAGTGTTCCAAAGTTTAAAGCACTGCAGTAGGGACTTCATAAAAATCCTTTCTTCCTCCCTAAATATTTTATTACTTTATGAGATATAGCTCTTAATATTTTGGCATTTTTATTTATTTTTATATTTTTGGTTCTGGGGATTTAATCCAGGGATTGACTACAATCCAATGATTGTACATTATAGGCAAGCAATCTACCACTTAGATTGTTAATTCATGTATAAACTTAAAATATGCTGGGGATGTACCTTAGCCATATGATGCTTGCCTAGCCCTGGATTCAAGTCCTAACACTGTGTAAACCAGGTGTGATGGTATGGAGGCAGGAGGATCAGATGTTCAAGGTCATCTTCAGCTATATATTGAGGCTGGCTTGGGCTACATGACACCTTGTTTCAAAAACACAAAAACAAAACCAACCAATCAAACAAAAGAAAATATGTACATATACACAAGGCAGTATTTAAACTGGGAAGTGCAACTTGCTCATTCCATTTATCTTCATTAGGATCTTGCACCAATACCTGAAAGGGTATCTTTAACAGCAGTCTAGCATTTCATTGTGAAGATGTGTCATAATCTTTTTGGTTGTTCTACTTAATGAACATCTGGAGACTGCTTCCTGTTACTATCAGGATGACCACCCATGCGTAAGTCTTTTCTTGTATACATTATTTTGGTTGTT